GAGAACTGGGGAACAGAGCCACAGATGAATTCTCGTTTCTCTCCACTCCCCATCCCAGGTTCCACCATTCTCTTGTTTCTCCGTTCCCCCATTCTCATGTTCCGCCGGTTGCCTGTTGCCTCTTCTCCCGCTGTCACGCGAAATTTATGACTTGCGAAATATATGAGTGTCGCAGTTCTGGGCATGCGCAAATGCGCCCATAAATTGCATTCTGTTCATAAATTTCGCAACTTGTTATACTGTTCAACACGTATTCTCTGACTTGTCTCAAAGGAAGATTTTTCGAAGTTTTTTTGTTTCCTAAATGGCTGCAAATTCAACAACTGAATCAGCTTGCTGTTCTGGCGTTAAAGCGAAGAAACCTGACTCGGTAATCTGTAAATATAAGGTATGTCATTGTCGTGCAAACTCTGTTTAGTTCGAATTCAAATGTTCGATGACTTCGATCTGAAACCGATATTCGGACTGTTGTTTTAGTGTAATGATGAAATTATTGTGATCATACTGATCATAACCAAGATATTATTGTTATTGATATTTATTAATTTGTCGTTGTTTTGGCCATGTATTAACACTATAATTTGAATGTCTTAGGCTTAAGTGGAAGAAGTGCTGCACTTCCTAAAATCAGGATGCCAGGAACCTACTCATTTTGCCACTCTTGACAAAGTCGCAAGGAAAAAATATACACACGCTGTCTCGATTCTCGAGAAACTTTAAATATGAAGGTATTATTATTATTATTTAATAACTTCGGATTGAGGCATCGCATCATAATAATATGTGATATGATCTTATAAATTTTATTATTGTTACTTGTTTTATAGCTCTTATTATTTATTAGGCTTTTATTTTACTTGTTTTATAGCTCTTATTATTCATTTAGCTTATATATTTACCCTTTATGTACACATTCAATAGTGAATCTGAAAACTTACACACATGTCTACTAACTACTGTTTGGAATTTTTGTTGCAGTGCTGTTGGGAGAAATACAGGTGTGTGCAAAATTTGCAAGAAAGATGATGGCAAGACTGGCTTGGGTGTGACCGGTGCTATCAATTCTTTTACGCCAGTTGCAGAAGTGTGGACTTCGCAACAGCACTCTCAGGAAAATTTTATTGCTAATGTGCAGCTACGGTGAAGTGATGCAAGGTGCAGATGTAAAAATATGTAAATAAGACATAAATTCCAATGATGTAAATAATTTTGGTAGAACTGTTAAAATTATCTTGTCAGAAATTAAATGAAGCAATGTACCATTATACTTGAATTTTTGTGGTAGTATGATACCAACTATATTGCAATTGCTATCTGAATCCTTACATTCATTATTGTGATATCCTAGCCAAACAAATAATCTAACCACTCTATTACTCAACCACTTAATTTCCCAACTGCATGACATTAGTACCTCACTGTAGTACCCATATCATGAAATAAATACCATTCTGGTACTCATTGGGTAATTATATACAAGTAGATGAGTACCAGAGTGGTGGGGTACTAGAGTCAATTTGGCAAAGAAGTGGTTAAGTTTTTATAGAGTATTCCGCATGATCATGGTAAAATCTTGACAAATCTTGCATGATTTAATAAGGTTTTAGAAAGATCTTGGCAGGATCTTGTGTAAGGTCTTGCTAGAAATTGACAAGTCAAAGTCAAGTTCTTGACACGATTGTGATTTGTGAACCTTGGACTGGGTTAATATCGTATAAAACATGCCGTTTATACTTTTTCAAATTCGATAATCTATAGTATTTTAGCGATTTAAATAGCCTTCAATGATGTTTTATCTGTCCTAGTAAATCTTTGCTTTACACTTATTCCGAAACTTACTAAAATATTGATCAAAATTAGCCAAAACCAACTAAGTCGCACTCGGCCGCCGAAATCATAGATTTCGCAACGTCATGTTTTTCGCTCGAGTAAGCCGCGAAATTCGTGACTCGTCACGCGTGGTCATGTATTTCGCAATGGTCATAAATTTCGCTTGACACCGCTCCCCATTTCGCCTGCTCCCCTACTTCCCAGTTCCTCTATCCCCTTGCTTTCCATTCCCCCGTTACCTATTTCTCCCACTCCGCAGTTCCTCCATTCCTCTGTTCCCCATTCCTCCCACTCCCCAGTTCCTCCATTCCCCAGTTTCCCCGCTCCCGAGTTCCTCCATTACCCGATTCCCCCATTCCTTGATTCCCCTGTTCCCCGATTCCCCTCATTCTCCGATTCCCCCTTTCCCCGATTCCCCCATTCCCCGATTCCCCTATTCCCCCATTCCCCGATTCCCGATTCCCCGATTCCCCCATTCCCCGATTCCCCGCTCCTCCTTTTAAAGATAGCTGGACTTGCTCGCCATCACTGGATTACGACGGCTATCTTTAAAAGGGGGAACGGGGAATGGGGGAATCAGGGAATCGGGGAATCGGGGAATGGGGGAATCGGGGAATCGGGGAATGGGGGAATCGGGGAATCGGGGAATGGGGGAATCGGGGAATCGGGGAATCGAGGAATCGGGGAATGGGGAAATCGCGATATAAAAATGTGATATTTCATTATTATTATTAAATACGACAAATATTAAATACGACGAGCATCGTACGACGAGTCTCTAACTTCTTTTACAACAACTTCCCGGCGATTGTTATATTTGCCGAGATATACAACGCCAAACGTCCCGCTTCCAAGCTTCTTACACTTCCAATCAAGACTGCAAGGCCGTCAATTTTATTTTTTTCTTTCTTTTTGCTAAGCTGTTGTATTTTAAAGCTTCCTGCCATTTTGGCTAGGAAAACGTGTGCTCTATTTTATGTCAATCATGCATGCAAACACCTTTAGCCAATCGGAAGCTTTCAAATTTATTCTAAATATTTGGAAGACCTTCAGTTCTTGAAACATTAATTAAGAATAAGCCATGGAACGGGAAAGCAAACAAGTCGTATTAAAGGCTATGTAGCCTAGGCTTGGAACCACCCTATTGATGGTGTTACAAAAGGCCACATGGTACAATTTAACTGTGCAAAGAACTATCTTGCAGTGTGTAAACGCCATCAATGTCTACTCAAATCAAAGTTCGCCAGTTCAATTCTAGTTTACAAGAAGATTGAGCTTTATTCAAACGGCTTTTTATCCCCTCTGAGAGCCGCTTTTCAGGCTATTCCGACCCTTTATCGCGTTTTTTATCTCAATGAATCGCATTTTCCCTTTATCTCATTTTCAGTTTCCCCGATTCTTCCATTCCCCGATTCCCCCATTCCCCGATTCCCCCATTCCCCGATTCCCCGATTCCCCCATTCCCCCATTCCCCGTTCCCCCTTTTAAAGATAGCCGGATTACGACCACTCAGTGATTACGACAACTTCGGCAAACGTCGGATATACGAAAGATGACGAACGGTATGTTCGAACCTTCTTCCGGAAAACGTCGTAAGTTGTTTTGCCAAGATAATTGATAAATATAGTTCGAAGCATATAACGGTTCAAAGGACTGAGCTATATATTTGTCAAATTTTAAAGCGAAGGTGAGTACCTTAAAGTTGGTGTCTTTTTTGTGACATTTTTTATTTTAATTGCTCGTTTTTTTACTGTGGAATTATGATTACAATCGAATTATTCAAGCCGAGGGTACATATCATATCCGAGGGCCCAGGCCCTGCACTGACTTTTTGTCAGGTGCTCAACTTGTCGAAGGTGCATGTATCACAATCAAATAAACTGGAGCCATTGTAGCTCACACTAGTCGTTGGACTGTAAATGATATAGTTGATTCAGCTTGAACAGTACATGCTAATTTTTATCAGGGTACCTAATGATTTAATATTTTATATAAACAGTGTGTATACCTATGTCATTGTATTCAATTGTTTACAAAGGAATCAAATCAGTCAATATTAGGAATTGATCAATTCTAACTCACAATTTTATTAATTAAAAACAGTTTGTATGGTATTTTCAGTCAAAGTTTATATAAAAGTTATTTATTTTAACTGATGTCCTCAAGTTTGCTATTAATAGATTGGTTCCACTAATTGTGTGGACATACATTGAAATAAGACACCTGCTAAATATTAGACAGGTATTGTGTTGTGCGGACTATCACAACACACTGTGCAGCCTTAATGGCAAGCTTAGGTATCAAATACTATGATTGTTTTACATACCAACTCTTTTAAGTTTGCCGACTTTCATAACTAGTCAACTACAATAACTATGTAACAGTGAATTGTGCATGTGGTATGTTCTAATGATCTACTGTCAACTGTGTCATAATTGTGTATGTGCTAAGACTGTCTATTGACATAAAAGGAAAATCAAGGCCCTGGGACTATAAATGATATAGTTGATTCATCCTGTACAGTACATGATTATTATCAGGGTAATGATTTGATATTTGATATGAATGCTGGTAAACAGTGTGTAGCTATGTCATTGTATGCAATTGTTTACAAAGGAATTAACCCTGTATGTATAGGTTATCACATGATGGTTGAGGTGATATCAGTTTTATCGCCAAGGGACACCGAAAAACATATTGAGGTTCCCCAAAGGCATTGCAAGGAAGAATAATCACATCAAAATTAGACGATTATATCCTGGATATCTTACATGGTAACAGACCATCGCAGAATTACAGCAGTCTGTACACACATATTTGGCAGAATAAAAAAAATTCTGGCTAATGCATGTTCAGAGAATAATGTCTGGTTATAAATATTTTATATTCATTAAAAACCCCTTAATATGACCGGCTTAGAAAATTCACACAACATTTGAAGGTACTCTACAATGTACCGTAGGGAAAAATTCAGTAACGTAGCCAGCCTGACGATTTGTCCCGCTATATATGCTAATATTTTGGTGTTCATTGACTGTGAAAACAATAAATTTCTAAGGAAATGAATAACTATAATAACTCGAAATTTACATAGCGGGACAAAATCATCAGGCTGGCTACGCCACTGGAAAAATTGACATAATTTTTTCAACATTGACTATGGGGGAAGGGGGGCCGCGATGCATTTCAAAATTGATGGAAAATCTGAAAAGTCCCATAATTTTTGAACGTGATTGTAGGCAAACAAGTTCAAGATGGAAAACAAAATTACGAATTTTTCTTTTGAGCTGAAATATTTCAATTTGAATGGTTTTCAATTGCCAAGTACAAACTTTTGCTTATCCACTGGTTGAGATAAACGCCTTTCAAACCACCGGCCTCGCAACCAATATAATATTCCGGAATTATTAACCAACCACGTTTGGAAATTTTTAGCAATGGCGAATAATGAAACAGAGAATAACAGCATAGAAAAAACTTTAACTCTTGGAAATTTATTCCACCAAGATCTTCCTCGCGCTAATTTTCTCCCGATTTTCCCAAATTCCTTTAACGATGCATTTCGTTTTGTAAATAATGGAACATACCGTATTTTTTATATGCCTGAATCATCGGATATTTCGAAAGAATTTCTGATTCCTCTCCGTAACTGCTGTGTCGCTGGTAACGAGCTGCCCATCTTAGTGCATGAATTACCAAGCGAATTCCTCTTAGTTCACTGGAGGAAATGGTGTTATCTTTTTGTTGAGCCTGTGATCAAGACAATCGATGAGGGGCTACAAGATGACAATATCGTCATCACGCTGTTTCCACTTGAAGCCATTTCGAAGCAGAAGCACGCAGTCGATCCGGATATGCACTATGATATCCTGAAAAAATCTGCAATCCCTGAAACTGGTGCGCCGCATCCTAAGTATTTCAACGAAACTAATGTTGAATTTCCATGTATGATCAAGGTAAGGAATTAGAAATGTTTTACTTGTTTTGAGAATGATCAATCTCCTATAAAACTATTGGAGAACGTGATAGCTAGAAATAGTAAAGAGTTTGGTACCCAACGATTTTTCATTAAACTTAAACTTCGATATGTTACGAATTCAAGGGAGCTATATATTTAATTAACAGTTTTTCTGACTCGCTACTTGCGTGTACTCGGAATCAATACTATACCACCTGCAAGAATTGAGTGTTTGAACTTTGAAATACCACTTACTATTTAGAAAAGAGAAATATCATCACTTCGGGCAATATTTCGCCGAATCCCCCTCACTCTAGGTCTATAAATGATAAAGAATATATATGGAGAAAGGGGGATAAAACTCTTATAACCGAGCCAATCACGTTTCGTCGATAACCTGTTTATCACATATTTGTCTCTTTTTTAAGTAAGTTCTCGCTTCAAATGACGTACGCGTAATCAGTAGAAATATGGCTTTTAAATCATCGCAATTATCGCTACTCTTGTTTAGATAAATGAAAGTAATCACCACACAAAGACTAACTTTCACGACGCAACGTTTCGACACTCCGGTCTAGTCAACCTCGTACCCAGGGTCTTTACTCGTGGTGGGGAGTAAAGACCACTGAGCTATATAATAATTCCTGGAGGACCGGCTCCTGTCAAAAAAGTGAAGCCACTAAGATGGCGGATTTTGAGCTTTGCTGACGCCACTTGGTTCCTTTTGCTCATGGTAGTTACCACTGACATACCGCGATACAAGGTGAAAAACTGTGTCCATCACCCTCCCGATTTTTACGAAAATATTTTCAGCTTTCCGTATATATTTTTTTGTTTTTCATATAAAATGGATAAAAGCGTTTCTCTTTTTCCCTGTTCAACAAATGGAAAGGACACGTAGCTTCGTGCTCTGCGTCTGACGTTGTGAATGGCTTAATTCACTTATCGGTAGAGTGAATTTTCTCATTTTGCCCTTATTTTATAAAATCCAGGTAAGCCGTTTTTCAACTTTTTTTACTATAAACAATTTCGTTTTTGGCCTTCGAGTTTGGACTATAGTATAAACCGATTACCAAAGCCTCTGAGACAATAAATCCATCAAAACGTGTGGTACAAACAGCCTTTGGTACATTACAGTGCTATCAATGCAATATATACCCAAATTTTATCATTTTTATATACCCAAATTTTATCATTTTTTCTTAACTTGTGTCGGGGGAAAGTTAAAATTCCTGGCAGTGTCAATCTTTTGAGTTTGGTCTATGTTGTTTTCATGATAGCAAACATCAATGTTAATAGGTAAACCATTCCCCCCAGACCCAGTGAGTCTACTATAGTCACTCTTCTATAGATCCCACCCAACATCAATTAACATGATCTGAGGGTGCTGATACAAAATAATAAGTTGCTGTAAACAGTGTAAAATTCCAACCTCTGATAGTGAGCCCTGTTAAAGCCTAGTTAATATATTATCTTGTTTACCTTGTCAAATCCAAAGTGAAATGATCAATTATCACAGCTCTTAATTTATTTTTTAGCTTCTTGCACCTTGTGAATAAATCATTTTTATTTTTCAGGATGAAGTTCATGCATTTTATGACTGTGCATTGTTATTCTTCATTTCCATGTTATCTGATTTTGTTGTTGTCTGGTGTTTTTATACCATTTGTCAAATTTATTAATTAATGAAATAAATATAAACATGCATTGACTGAGCAGTGTGTCTTTAATCTGCAGCAACTTTTGCAATTTTCTGTTTATGGTATCAACCTCCAAGAGGGTTATATTCATTAGGCTAATCAGTGGAGCCTATGGAGGGATAAATGTTATTCTTTACTATAACCAAGGGTCCAGGGATGCAATTAGAGAATGCTGAAAACTTTTAAAGCCTGTTATTAAGGTTTATTAGGGTACAAGTTGATGACTTGAATGAAAAGTATATTATGCAAATATGATTCTTGGTTGAAACTATATTGCTGCACTAAGTATTAGTCAGCTGCCCAGCACTTTGCCTGAGCTTTGGCCTCTGTTTCTTTGGATTTTGTATTGTGCATAGATATAAAGTCTTGAAGACAACATCACATACTGAATACTGATTACATACTTCCTGCAATTCATCAGTTCAGGATTTAGAAAAGTCAAATTGTTGCCCATAAATTCCTAGTTGTCTTCAAAATATGCGAGGATAGTGCCAAAACATTCAAACATTTGTAAACTCTCATATTGGAATGTATAAATAACAAAAATATTATTACGAAAATGAAATAAGAAACCTGTCAGTTCGTGTCAGTATTAAAATCTTTAGTTTGTCCACATTTTTCCATATTTTAATATATTTGTTTCCGCGCTGGCTAAAAAATAGCGTGTATGACTTGTATTCATCTTAAAATAAAACTTTATTGTATGTCAGTGCGAAAAATATAAAAAAAACAACCGAAAAACATTTCAAAAACAAAAAAGATTTCACGGCAAAAAAAAATATAAAAACCAGGGGGGAGAATACTGCTGTAGCGGGCTCAGAATTGAGCCTGGTCAGTGGTAAATACCATGGTCAAAAGGAACCAAGTGGCGTCAGCAAAGCTTCTGCGGTTGCGCAGAAGGGCGAAATCCGCCATGTTGGTGGCTTCAAAAAGATGGCGGCGAAGTTACTGAAAAATGACCAAAAATGACGAGCCGGTCCTCCAGGAATTATTATATAGCTCAGTGGTAAAGACCCTGGTCCAGTGAGCTCCACATATATCTGGAGTAAGAACTTTGGGTGCAAAAAGTGAAGCCAAAGATGGCGGATATTGAGGCGCTATAGTACGTCAGTTTCAGTCTTCCTAACTCGCGCGGCCAAATATTTCTTATTGTTTTTGACCGGGAGTGACGTTCCCGAAACCCTCAGATTTTCGTGTTTTTCATCATTTTGAGAGCACAAGAATGGAAAAAAATTGATTCATTTTACTGAGAATTTGTTTCTCTGCATCTACCCGATCTGGGTGCCGCATTTTCCGACTGTACGTGTGAGTAAATATGCATTTTTCGTCATAAATTCAACTACGCATTTCAGATTTGTTTAATTTTGAGTTATTTATATATATTTCTACCTTATGTTTTGAGTTTTTTGTTCGTTTTTGGTTTCGAAACGCTTTAACACTAGTTGTCCTTTATTTTTTGGCCAGTTTTCCTAGCATAGGGCTCTTTTTAAGGTCTCTTTTATACGTGCATTATGAGTCTTGTTTATAAATTTCATAATCATATATTAGTATTACTTCAAACTCGTACGTTTTTCAGCATAATTTTCTTTTCTATTAATTTTTTACATGGATGAAAGCCTTATATAGAGAAATTAAACTGAGAAAAGTTTTATTTATGTTTTTTTGGGAAGCATATTCTGTGAGAAAATGTTGTGATTTGCGAAAAGCCGAAAACATCAACAATCCGCCACTCCTTAGCTTTCCTTGTAAGATATCGCTTATTTCTTTGTTAATTTAATTGAAATATAAAAGTATCTCAATACAAAGCATTAATATTATACTTTTCATTGAAATTCCCCTCATTTTTTACTCAAAAATATGAAAAAATAAAGTTAAAAAATACGAATTTAGTTGACCGCGCACACATAGGAAGACTGAAACTGACGTACTATAGCGCCTCAATATCCGCCATCTTTGGCTTCACTTTTTGGCCTCACGGAAGTCTTAAGTTCTTACTCCAGATATATGTGGAGCTCACTGCCCTGGTCGGGGCTGGTCACGTGACCGAGGCTAAATTGAACTCCTTAGGGGGCGAGGGGAGAGTATCGTGTTACACTTCGTTAGCCTGTTCGCAGGCAACCACTTCATAAACAAGCACGAGAGCGTTATCGATGCTGACTTGCTGGACTACATAACCTTAAAACTTGTTTAGAATTTGCTATTTTAAATAGCTTTATGTACAAATAAGTTATATTAAAACCAAAGCAAGTTCTTTGCCAGGGGCCGGTTGTTCGAAAGGTGAATAAGTCGCTATCCAACGGATAAGTCGCTATCCAACGGATAAGTTTTATCCAGCGTGTGATTTGCGTTGCACGAAGCTTGGATAACTTTATCCAGCGGATAAAAATCGCTATCTACCGAATAAATTTATCCAAGGTCCGGAGGTGGTTTAAATCCACTATCCAGTGGATAAATTCAAAGATACAAGGTAACACTGTAAACATTTATATAAAATAGGACAAAAATGCCATATTCCTGTTACTGTGTTCCAACAAACTGATACGCATCATGATTGTATTCACTATTAGAAATGTTTTCGAAGTGCAATTTGTCGCAGCAGCGTTTCACGTTGCCTACACATTCCGTTCCGAGCGGCAATTTTTTGGAGATCCTCGCATTTATAACAGGCGGTAAATTTACTATACGCTTCTAATCAGTTTATAAACGCGAATATGCAAAGAAAGATTCAACCTATTCCAAGGAAACTTGCTAATATCTAAGTAATTTCATTCACGAACATTAAAATAGTGTTCCTAAATTTGCTATGGAACCGAAAGGCAAAGCGTTGCAAGGTCAAGGAATAAAATTGCAATGTGTTTAATTAATAAAATCACTATGATGTGAAGTGCAAAGTTCGAGCAAATCACTTGTTTAAGTCTTTTCCATTCAGTAACTATACTCGAGAATTCGTAATGATTATGAATTCAATGTTGTAAATGCTTAGCAACAGCTGACGTTGTGGTACGAAATTTCAGGATAATCCTGTTTTCTTCTGGTAAATTTTAACTTATCTATTGGATAGCTATCCACTTCACTATCCACGCTTCGTGCAACGCGTTTTTATCCAATGGATAACTATCCACTGGATAGCAGATTTATCCGTTGGATAGGACTTATCCGTTGGATAAGTTATCCATCTTTCGAACAACCGGCCCCTGGAAAATATTTATTTGCAAAAAGTTGTGATGTGTGTTTTGCCGACGGGCTTTGGGAAGTCTTTGATTTTCCATCTGCAACCAGTGCTGTTTTTTGCGAAGTCAAAGCTGCTCGACCACGTTCGATTGCGAGGTATTTCTGCGGCAAGTATTTAGACTTGGACAAGATGCTGATGCTATTAAATCCATTCTGATGCCAATTTCCAAAGCACCGTTGGATGAAAAGTACCAACTTACAATTGTGTATGTCTGCTGAGGTTGTGTGGATTTGCATAGAACTGATATAAGCTATTCGAGTATGTCCTTGGTGATCATCAATACTTCCCTCCTGGCCCTGCTGCTATTCCAACAAACCGACTTTATGCACAGTTTCATGCTCCACAAGCTGCAGAGATGAAATCTTAAAACAGCTTTGCTCGGGTTCAGGATTGTATTAATAGCTACTGTAACAATTGGCATGGGTGTGGACAATCCAAATATACGGCAGGTGATACACGTCGGACCACCATGTAGTGTGAAACTTACTTCCAGGAAACTGACCGTGCAGGGAGAGATAGCAAGCTTTCATCAGCTGTGTTATACTATAACAATCGAGGTATTGGCAATACAAGATGATATGAGAGAGTACTGTTCAAGTGAGAATTTATGTCTAAGAAGATTGCTACTCAAATCAGTAGATTTGGATGTTGAAAATTCTGTAAAACACCTTTGGCTTTGCTGTAATTGTATGTAAGGAACAGTGTAAATGTTCAATGTGCACCACTGAGTGCAATACAAACAATAAATAATGAAGCTTGTTAAGATTTATGGTCTTAATCTATAATTGTCCTAATTTGCATTTAACATGACTGAAATTCAACATAGAAAAAGGCCTTAGTAATCACAAAATATATTTCTTTATGTTACATGAAGCAATCATCCCTATTATTTATTACTAAATTTTCAATCTTTGTGCCACATGCAAAATTTCTTTAAAAATACATAAGTTCACTAGCATAGAATTAAACATGTGCAAGATACAATAAGTGCAGTATATTAATTTAGATGCATGTGTATGGTGCTATATATACATATATACATTAACTCATGAACTGTCTGGCAATGTGTCCCTTATTTCATCTCCAGATAATATTGTGTTAAATATTGTTTTTTGTCCTATACTGAGAAGTAAAATCAATATTGTACCCTGGGCTTTCATTCCTACAGCATAAAGTTGATTAAAATAATTGTTAAGGGTTAAAGGGTTTTGATTACAAGGGAAAATTATTCACAACCCACTCAGGGGCCGGTTGTTCGAAAGGTGTTTAGCTTAAACGGTGGATAAGCCAAAATTTAAAAGTACTCTTATATATCTTGTGAATGACTGAACCTGCATTTTATGAATTAAATATGTATATTCATTAAAAATTAAGCTATTTACATCAAAATATTCCACCTCACTTGTCCAGTAAAGAGATCATTTTCTTTTTCATTTTGAACTTATCCACCGTTTAAGCTAAACGCCTTTCGAACAACCGGCCCCAGACCTTTAACCCTTAGTAATTATTTTAATCAACTTTATGCTGTAGGAATGAAAGCCCAGGGTACAATATTGATTTTACTTATCAGTATAGGACAAAAAACAATATTTAACACCATTTCCCAGTTATTGTTTTAAAGAAGTTAAATTATTCATCTGGTTCTTCTGAATCATCAGGGTAATGCACCAATATATTGTTTTTATGTCTCATTGTCCATTCTTTAAATTTTTCTTTGTTAAAATTGTGTGTAGGGTTGTGTGGAATATCAGGAAATGTTTTAAACATCCTTCCATCTTCCTTCCTGAAAGGCCGCAAGTCACGTAAGTCCTTAGCAATCAACTTTTCATCCTCAGTTGATAACTTGTGGGAATGCGCCGAAGATTTCTTGTGCATTTTCACCTGACCCTCATATGCTTCAACAATCTTTGTCACCCCTCCTGATGCCTTGCTCGCTCTGCCAATCGCCTTTTCTGTTTTGTTAGCTCCCATAGACTTGATCAGTTTCTTCATCTCAGCATTTCGGTTTTCTTGAAATAAGTCAATTTCAATGTTCTTTTTCGCACCACCTTTCCAATTCACAGTGGCAGCCCATTTACAAAGGTGAGCTTCAGTTTCGGACAAAAGAACTTGGCATTGTAAAATGTTAATAAACATTTCAATTGCAAACTCGTTAAATCCTGGTGTAGAGAAGAAATGCTTTAAAAGCTGTTTCCTCAGAACAGACAAGTACTCCCCATTACCTGAGGCAACTGCATCATTTATGTCCGCAAGTAGCAGGAATGACTTGAGTATGTTAATGCTGTAACACCAAATGCCATCAACTGTTTCACAGTCTTCATCTTCTTCTTCATTAAAAACATACTCATCAAGAAATTTGTCCAGAGAGTTGATGAGATATGTTTTCTGGTATTCTTCAGTTAGGACATAAACACTATGAGGACTGTTTGCAGTTGGTTTGTGCTTTGTATCAAGCATTTGGAAGAATTCCAAAAGGGCTTCAATAACAAAGCACTTACCAACACTGAAAAACAGCTGCTCACAGTCTTCATAGTGTTTCACATCCAGAGTAACATTCCTCCTGTTCAATTTTTCCCTGAAGAACCGTAGAGTACCCTTTTCTCTTCCAGAATTCTTGTATAGATGCTTAAATACAGTCTGAATGAAAAAAACAATGTCAGTTTCAAACATACAATCAGAACAGGTTTTCAGAAGCTCAGTTGTATAGGAACAACGCTAGTATACGCACAGTTTCAAATAACAATCCTAAAACATTGCTCAAATTCTCATGGCTCTCATACAACAACACACATTACTATGAGTGGAATGTGAGATTGATACAAGAAGCCTATTTGAATTCTATCAAGGGATAACTTTGAGGGGAAGCTAGAAAAAAAATGGGGATCATAAAATATACTCAATTCAAAGGTTTTTTAAAACTGGCTACTTTGCATGTCGCTAGGCAAAGTTAAAATGTCATTTTAGAAATCTATATACTAAATACAATTGTACAATTGATTTTTGTTGGATGAGGAAAATACAATATATTGGGCATACAGCACATATAGATATAAACTTCATCTGTACAAATATGTGATAAGACAATACCTTCAAATAGCTTCTTTTTGTATGCCAGTCAACTATACAGAATGGGTACAGATGATCCAGCCTTTGCTTTGGAGAATGGCACCCAGCACGTAGATCTTTTGCACCAGCAAATCTGACACGAGTGAGTTGATCTCCATAGCATGGTATTTTCACACCATGCAATGGATCACTCTCAGTTGCAACAGGTGGTGCATGTGAGCCAGGTTGATCTGGTCTGGAATGGGCTGTGATCACAGGGGGATGGGCTGTGATCTCGGAGGATTTAGAATCAGGAGAACATAGACCAGCAGCTGAATATATCTCATAAGTCCATTGCTCTAGTTGATCCAAAACATCAACACATTCAGCATACTTCTTTTCATCCTTCATTAAAATAGGCATGGTGACGATATCAGACCGCATTGACATTTCGTTGGCATATGTACACTCAGTTGCTTGAGGGGTGTGCTGTTTAAACATTTCAAAGGATGTAAAATGTTCAAACAAAAGCTTTGCAATGATTGCACGGTAGCGGGCACGGATTTCTTTCATTTCTTCATCACTGACAGCCACTAGCTCATCGACATTACAGGTACGGAGGTTCTTCTGTGGACCAGAGTCTGGTAAATCTTTTTCTGGAACTCTGTTAAACACGATGCTCGTAGCAACTGCATGCACACTTCGGTTTTGTACATCCTGTCTCATATCATGGGCTTTTTCTTCCCAATCAATGTTATCCAGAACGTAAACAAACTTGCAACCAGACTTCACCAATTCTGCAGCATGATCAAGAAAATGATTGCCAATTTCATTCAGGATGTTGTATTTCATTTTCGGCTCAAGACAGAAACCATATTTATTCAATTGAGCAATCACCTAATAACAAAATAGAAATCAATATACAATTTGAATCTAATTACTATGTAACGACTTCTACTCTATGCAAGTTCTCACATTTTTTTTGAATATTGCAAGGTCTGTTAAATTGTATAATGCCTTGTATTCAGGGTAAAATGATATTTAATCACTTAGGGTAAAATAACAATTGTAAAAATTCTGTTCATCAACTGCATGACAGCATACTGTATTGTACTATCAGTTAACCTAGAGATATAAGCACAAAACTGTTACATTAAGAATAACTTACATTAGCAGACGCTTGTCCTTGAATGAGCAAAACTGAATTAATTCTCTGTATTTTGCTTAATTCATGACATCTTAAGAACATTATGATACCATAAATTAAGCACAAAGCAGGATTCCTCTTCTCTGGATCAATGGTAGTTTCCAACAGCCCGGAAAGAATTTGATGAGACATTGGACACCTTGTTGTCATCTCACTTATCAGTTCTGACATCCATGTTTCGGAACTCAAGCCATCAAATGATCTCTGCCTCAGGACTGATGGATTGCATCTTCTTGCAACCTCAATGAGTTCTTTGTTCGCCTGATTAAGAACAGATGAGGATGCATCTACCAACGCCAGGGAATCCTTAAACATGAAATGCAGTAAAGGTTTTAATTGAGTAATGTTAGTGAAGACTTTGTAATATTATAGAAGTAAAAGCAAAACCATGATTAATGATTAGTAACAATTTCAACAAACTAGGAGTATAGGATCAATGTTTTGTATACGCATGAATGAAGCCATTCATCATATTTAAATGAAATTATGCGCCAATTCAGTTGATGGCGCAAAATATTCAATGACTCAATATTTGAGCATTTAAATAAAGTAACGAAGGACAGGAATTAAAAAGTATGATGCACAAAAGAGTACATACTAGTATTCGGGATGAACTTTGAGTATCATCAGATGTCACATTAAAATCGATGCTTCGTCGACGTGAACTTCCAGCAGCTAGCACTTTTGTGGGCCGTACAACATTCGGTGATATCATAGGTGATATATTCGCACAACGTTTCGTGCGTAGATTTTCAGCTATGGTTTTTTGAGTCGCTGCTATTATTTTTTTAAACTGAATGGCATTGTTTAGCCTTCTCTCACAAGGCGCACAAATGTGAGCAGGGTGATCGCTTTCCTGTGGCAACTTGTCACCAAAAATTTCCTCAGCGTTGAGTAAAATCGCCTGGTTCTTCTTTAGAAACAGACTCTTGCTGTGTTTTGGGTTGGCAACACAATTCCAAAGTCTGCAGCGTGAAATTACAGAAAATTCTCCTTTTGCGTAGTGTTTTTTCGGCGTGCCTTTGCTAGCCATCGACTCGATTGAATGAAAATGAAACGCTGTTGAGTGTAATTTGATACTCCTCGTGCTCCTGACAGGATATATTATGTTTCAATGTTTTTTTTTGTAAATATTCGCGTATATTTATCTGTGAAGTAGCGATGGAATTTACATATTTCGCACAGATTCATCACAACTAGAATATTAAAATTTTCGAAGGAGACAAACGCGCTCCTCTCCTACCCTTCCCTAATTGAATTTATAATTTACCCCCAAAATCTGGGGGTTCACGTGACCAGCCCCGACCAGGGTCTTTACTCCCCACCACGAGTAAAGACCCTGGGTACGAGGTTGCGGTCTAGTGTCTGCATCATTGGTGAACTGATGTTGAAACTCAGATCCTTATATACTCTCAAAATGACGTCATCTATCAATCAGATGTAAATATTCTTTTGCCAAATATCATGTCATCCCTATTTAGGGCGCAAAGACTCATAATCACGCTCGTTGGCCCTGTTATGTCCTCAATGTACTGAGAGAGAATGCAATTATCCACAAAACGTTTTAAATGATAGTCTAAAACCCCCGGTCGCAATTAAATGCAATTCCTCAGAGGATGATTCCTCAAAAACAGATTTTGCCGTAGTCACATACATTCAGGAAGTTGCAGAACCAATCAGGAGGATCCTGAATAATTGTGGTATAAAAGTTGCCTAAAAACCTTTTCAGACATGCATTCGGACATATTTTCACGAAACCCAAGGATCGCGTAGACAGAAAACTCATGCAGTATACTCTATACCATGTGGTGATTGCGAGAAGGAATATCTACGTGAAACAAAACGTCAGTTCGGCACACGTCAGTTCAAAATCAGTTCAGAAAAAAGTTAAATTATCATAAAAAACTGCGTGCTTTGTATTTTTTGCTGAACAGTGTCGCCGTTTTGGTTCTCGACATATGTGCCTTTTAAATTTACTTTAGGCAAGTTTTTGGCCCCATTTTAAGATAGTTTAAGGTGGCTCCCTACAATTTTAGGAATATTGAAAACTCGTGATTTAGATTTAAAATTTTCGCAGGAGATTTATTATTAAAGGAAAAGAAATTTCCTAGATATATTGACCAACATTCTAACAGCCAGAAATCGTCCATAAGTATAACGTCATCGCCGTTGTTATAGTAATAATAGCAATTCAATATGGCCGACATTTTACACATTTTTTTTTACAAAAAAGATCGGTTACCCCCATTTTTTATTTTATAAAACGTTTTCCTACAAGGAAATGGGAAATCTGAACAAATTTTAAAAATTTTGTAAGACTAAAAAATTTTATAACAAAAAATAATTTAATTTTAAAAATTTCGGCTTCACAGAGTTTTTTAATTTTTTCAAATCTTCCATTTCCTTGTAAGGAAACGTTTTTTAAAATAAAAAATGGAGGTAACCGAACTTGTTTTTCAGTAAAATGCGTAAATATGTAAAATGTCGGTCATATTGAATCACCATAACAACGGCAATGACGTCATACTTTTCTACCTGTTAGAATGTTGGTCAATATATCTAGAAAATTTCTTTCCTTTAGCATAAATCTCATGCGAAAATTTAAGATCTAAATCACGAGTTTTCTATATTCCTAAAATTGTAGGGTGCCAGCTTAAACGAAAAACAATGAACTGTTAACTTATTGCTTTTACCAACATATTCTTTGCGTTATTGAAACTACAAATCACCAAATAACTACGTGCGTTTTCTTCAAGGTAATCGTTGAAAACTTACAAGCAATATTCACCTCCATTGACGGAATGAAGAATTTTTAACTTGCTTCCAAGTGTATTCACATAGCTGACGAGTTCTTGAGACGTCTTATCGGTTGCGAAGTTTGTTCCGAAGTTACAGTATATGCCGTAAGTTATACAGGCATCTTTAAGAAGGCGTGCGCTAATTTTATCTTGGCCGGTATATTGCTTTCTTAGATGTTGTAAACACTTTCTCCTCTTTAACTGGTTGAAAGTTAAACTCATCCACACGGGGCTGTCCAGTTACTGGAACCAGGAGCGTAACTAGAACGATAATTAGCGGGGTGAATATTAATATAATTATTCAGTTCCTCCCGACGGATTTCTATTATAAGCAGATGCACTAACAAAATAATTTCTTCGGGCAGAACTGGATATATGAATATTCACTCCCCCCCCCCAGTAATCGTTATGTTCAAGTTATGCGCCTGATTAGAACTAAAGTGGCTCGAAATCTACTTTGTATTGCTGAGAAAGATTTAGCCAGTGTGGTACCAATCGTTGTCAATTAATATTCATTGTGAGCTTTAGCAATAGATTTCGGTTTAATATTTGTCAATTCCACTGGCTATAATACATGTATAGGTTTAGATCAGAACTTACCGTATGTACTGTAACTTCATCAACTCCATCATTACTAACTATAATTTGCCAAAGTGGTATAATTGCACTTCCTAATAATTTTCGTCGTGTAATTTTACTGTGAAATCAAGATTGTAGCTACAGGTCACGCTTTTGATTCTGCACCAATTCTAAGCTAATATTATCATAATGTTTGAACGAAACAAATCCAAGGGCCGCCAAAAGTATGTTGGTCTTGTTCATTTAAAATATTGAATTATTTATTGACCATGGCTAAATCGTTTCTCATCATAAATAGATTGACCAAAGCCTCAGTGGTTATGGCAACTATGTGGTGCAAAACCGTGAAGAATTTCGGGAGAAGTTGAAATGGATCATGGAAAGATTTGGCTCCGATGCTTGCTACGTCGTGTCTGAATATATTCAAGAAGTACAAAGCTCTGTCGACTGTGGCTTCTACGTCACAAAATCCGGAAACATCATATACATCGGAGTTCAATGCGTTGAGAGTAAAGATTTCAGATGGCATGGCGGATCAATTGACTGGGACATGCAGGACAAGTATAGGGAGAGAGTGTATGATAAATTTGTGGTGCCTGTAGCGAAATACCTACATAACAAAGGCTTCTTCGGAATGGCGGGTATCGAGATAATTACAAGTCCCAAGGGAGAATATTTGGTGGACCTGAATCCTCGTATAAACGGAAATACAGCGTACCTCATCCTTGCATCAACCATGGCAAAATTGGGACTGACAAAGTCCCGATACGAAGTATTTGTAACATTCGATATCACAAGTGAGGAATTGGTTAAGAAAGCGAATTTTATCAACGAGAAAAATCTCAGCAGCAGGATTATAATTATGGCGGCTGTTGATGAAGGCGAGAAATGTCATGCGGGCTTTTCAGTGTTTTGTGATAGTGAAGAAACGGTCGATTCTCTGTATGCTAAACTCTGCCAATAATAAACCACAGACAAGTACAAAAATGCGCTCTGATTACGTTATATAAGTAATTAGGTTATCACATGGTAGGTGAGGTGATATCAGTTTTATCGCCCGAGGGACAATATTACAAATCAGGAGCGAGCGCAGCGAACAAGAAACAACTGTAATATTGTCCTGAAGGCGATAAAGCTTATATAACTGAGCCAATCATGTGATAACCTGCATGTTTATCACATACTTGTGCCTTTATTCAGTTCTGGCTTTAAATTTGACACATATTCAACAGAAATATGGCTTAAATAAATCATTTTGGTATAGCGGTAGCTTTTAAATCCTTTTGTCTGATTTTAAATGTCTTATGGAAATTTTTGAACAGAATAAAATTGATGGCCTCAATATGTCTTTCAGTGTTAAAAACCCAACAGTTTACAGAATTATACACACTTTAAATTCAAGCCAGGGACGGTTGATGGAAAAATGAGTCAACTATGGGTCCTCCGGCAGGAATCGAACCATGCTTTTGCGATGCCGGTGCAATGCTCTTGCCACTGAGCTACAGAGGTAGCTGACAAGAGCAAGCGTGGTTAATGTGTATACATCATGGTAATGCCGGGAATAGCTGATGGTATGAGGGCTGGCTTGAATTTAAAGTGTGTGTAATTCCACTCGAATTATCCACTCCACTTTACCCTCACCTATATTCCCGGCATTACCATGCATCATATGCACATTAATCACGCTTGCTCTTGTCAGCTACCTCTGTAGCTCTGTGGCAGGAGCATTGCACCGGCATCGCAAAAGCTTGGGATCGATTCCTGCCGGAGGACAGATAGTTGACTCATTTTTCCATCCTGGCTTTAATTTGAAGTGTGTACAATTCCACTCGAAATTAAGACCCTTTCAAACCTCTAGAAATTGCCTACGTCGAGTGAAGTGCCAAAAATCATAATTGATTTACTCGGAGTATATGCTTTCTTATGCAATTTCAATTATAACTTATTTAACATGGTTACAGATTTAATTTTACACGAAAATCGTGAAAGAGACCAGTCTTGTGACTTAATTAATAGTTGTCCTCTTTGTTGTACAGCCAGTACAGGGTGTCTCAAAAAAAACGAAAACTATTGAAATCACCCATAATAATGTAATTGTTAGAGTTTGAATGCCTAAGCACTCTGTTGGGACCCACGAGTGTATAAATGTTTGCCATAAGCATTTTTATGCATGATGCATTAAAATTTGTTTCTACGCAAAAGTATTTATTAAACAACATTTACAATTTGTCCTTTGTCGATCTTTGTCGAAAAACGTTTCGAACTTCCGTTGTACTTTGGGTACGTGTATAATTTATCACAATAATTAAACACTCGTTGTTCCGCGGTCAGCTGTACTATTTTCTTTAGAAGCAATAACAAGGCTAATTTAAATTTAATCATATTCACAATTTCAAATTTAGGCCCCAAGGCCTAAAACTCATGAACACGGCATTCAAATTTTAACAATGAGTGATTTCAATAGTTTTCGGGTTTTTTGAGACACCCTGTACGTTGGGTTATTCTCTGTAGTGTAGCCAGCCTGTCGATTTGTCCCGCTATGCTAATATTTTAGTGTTCACTGACTGAAAACAATAGATTTCTAAAGACATCAATAATTATAATAACTAGAAATTTACATAGCGGGACAAAACCATCAGGCTGGCTACGCCACTGGTTATTCTGCTATTGAAGTTCTGAGTTTAGGTTTTCATTACTAATTTCAACCTGAGAAACTTGCCATAAACATCAAATTTGGTTGTCAAAACAACAGCGCATCTTGAATTTCTACAGCGGGACAGGAAGCGTATCATTGACATATCATATTTATAATGGTAATTGCACAGAGTGGAGTGCAATTTGGTGTGATATCAAACGCGTGATTACAAAATCGCACGACCGCGAAGCGGAAGGTCAAGAAAATTGTGATGTGAACCAATCCTGAAGCACAGAGGAGAGATGGACAGAGAGTCTCTGGAAAATGTTGAAACGAGTGTCCCCGAATTTTGCCTAATATCACGTCATTCTCACGTCATTTCCACGCGCCACTCAACCACCCGATTCTCTTCTGGTTAGCTCTTTCGGCCAAATTTCAATACAAAAGTATAGAAAAAACGCTGTTCGATAGGTGAAAAATTGATTTTTTTAACTGGGTCGGATTATCTTCATTCTTGGACTAAAATTTTGGAGATGGACGGTGAGTTGTTTGTTTTGTTGGGTTTAAATGATCGTGCTGTTTTTAAAAGCAATATTAAAATCCTTGTTTTGTATAAAGTGAGTTCTGATTACCCTTGTCGGCTGCCATATTTGTACCCGAATTGTCAAATTGTGTTTGCCAAAGTGAAACGTTGTCAGAGCTGCTTTTTTATTGTTTGTCAACTAGCAGGCAGAGTGTTTGCATATTTGTGGGATAACAATATAGGACGAATTTCAAAGAATGCTTCTAAATTCGCGTTTTAATTTTAAAATATCGACAAAATACATAGCAAAACATTTCTAAACAAAACAGAGTTTTAGGCGTTATATAACTTTAACTCGCAGAGGATATCAGTTTCTTAATAATTAGTACCATTTGATGATACAAACATTCACTGAAAACATTCATAATTATGTATCTTTACTTCTCAAGCAGAGTTGCCGTTCGATTACATATTTTTTCAGTCATTTTTCAAACTTTTTTGATCAAATTTTCACCAAGCATATTATCCCTGAGCTTTCTAAAGAAAATATATTTTAGCTCTTACCTTACACTACAAAAAACGTTTGGAACATTTCAGCCAAAGCGTTTAAATTTTTTTAAATTGCATTTTTCTGGCAAAAATTCCATTTTTCCTTATTAAAAATGTGCTCGGAGCTTACCAGAAGGGAATCGGGTGTAAACGCTTACTAGCGCGTGCGAGTAGAAAAGTGGGGACGCGTGGAGCCGCGAGTCGACTCTCTGTCCATCTCTCCTCTGTGCCTGAAGTGATGAACCATAGGTAGCCCAACACTCGTGGTCCGCGCGCGTACACGCTACTCAGTGATTAGCATATTTAACAATTAGACAACGAGTCCGAGTTGTCTATGAGCGAATAGTCAACGAAGGCGAAGCCTGAGTTGACTATCCGCTCATAGGCAACGAAGGCGAGTTGTCTAATTGTTTTAGTATACACCCTGTACATAGATATATTAATTTCGAGGAAATAATCGATACACCGCAAAATTACACCGAAAAATAATTTAATTAATGCAATTTTATACGGTCGCGCGAGCGAATTTTTCCCAAACGTGCACTATCACGAATAGACGATGGTTGAGTAGCCAATCAGAATGTAGGATTTGTAATAGACGATAGTCGGGTGTATACTAAATTAATTTATCCTAAGGTTGGCAACTTTATCACCAATTATCAATAATATATCACATACATACATGTCAAACTTCGATTAAAACTGAAAAACTACCACAAAATACTGCAAAATTGATAAATATAAATGAATTTGGATTTATTTTCTAAATTTCGACATAGTTTTTAGCTTCAAAATGTATTGGGAAATACGGAAATTTGTTCATTTGAAATAAAGTTTTTGAAAATATATTGTCGAAATTTTTTTGTCGATAGGCGGGATACAATTTACCCTACATTACGTCACCTTCGGAGAAATCCCGAGTCAATCCTATTGGTTGCTCTCTCATGAAGCAATCTTCGGAAATTTTCCGACTTTTCAGCAGAAATGGCTGTTGTTTTATTTATACCTGCACAATGGCTGGTTCAATTTCAATACCTGCCCAATGGTAAGATTTATTTCCAATACCCGCAGAATGTAAATGTCAGATTTCAATACCTGCACAATGGCAAGGTTTTTGTTTGCCATACCTTAAGAACCAATTGATTACGGGTCAAACGAACAGTGAATTGTGCTTATGGTATTTTCAAATTATACACTATCACCACAGAATACCTAACAGAAGTAGAACTCCTGCACTTTTTTCGTAAGTGTGATTCGTCATGATTCGTCACTTAGCAAGTGCATTTTTTTGAGGTAGTCACCCCCTGCCAGTACTAAAAATGCCCTGATTTTAGACATTGGTAGGGGGGTGACAGCCTCAAAAAATGCACTTGCTAAGTGACGAATCACACTTACGAAAAAATAGTATAGACTTCTACTTCTGTTAGGTATTCTGTGCTATCACAATGTCTATGTGCCATTACTACAAATGATGTGGAGGAAAATCCAGCTCCTAGGACATACCTTCCTGGTAACTTCTACTCAGCAATACACGTTTATATCAATAATGAATGGTGGCATTCAATGTTGACTGATTGTCTGACTGATTACCACAGTGATAAGATATTGTCAATGAAACTTACAAACAATCCATGCAGTATTAAAGATTTGTACGCTCGTATAATCTGATTGTCATCAAAATTGCTCGACCACAGTGGACAAATGAATGATTGAAATGACAAATATTGACACGAATAATGCAACGTGGACTTTGACTTGAATTTTTATACAAATTTGCCAAAACTCAAAGCAGCCCTTCGAATGAAATTCTGACTGAACTGTCTAAACATTCACAAAAAACAGACGAAATATTCCGGAAGTATCGACGAACGCGCGAACAGTATGTTCGTCACCTTCCCTTTATCCGACGATTGCCGAAGATTAACAGACATACATTGCGTCTAAAAATTATATGCAAATATATTTTTCTAAAATATCTAGGGCAGTATTGAGAAGAAATTTACAGAATTTTGTGTGCAAAATGGCAACACTGACATCTGCGCACATCTGAAATGTCGTGCAGTTCTGCGCACTAGTAAACAAATGATAGCAATTTTCAACTTTTAACATTCAGGGATTGTCCAATATTTTTATGCAACATGGGCAGAAAAGTCACTTTGACTGACAATGAAAAAGCAGCAATAATTCAGGGCCTTCATGCGAAACAAACAACCCTCCAAATAGCGAAAAAACTTAGTCGTGACCATCGAACGATAAAAAAATTTGTTGCAAACCCAGAATCTTTTAATGGAAGGTCAGACAAAGGTAAATCTCGGAGGAGCTCAGTTGTAAGCCCCCGAATGGTCAAGCGTTTAAAAAGAGAGATTCGCCGCAACCCTCTCCAAACTAGCAAAGAAATTTTTGAGGCGGTTGGTTTATCACATACACCCAAAAGTACAAGATGTCTCATCCTGAAGCGCATAAGCAAATGTGGAAAACCTGTGACTAGACCTCCTTTGAAGAGCGTCCATCGTCAAAAGAGAATAAAGTGGGCAGAAAATAACATGAAAGTGAATTTTGAGAACGTATTATTCACCGATGAATGCAGGGCAACCCTCGATGGTCCGGATGGTTGGAGTAGAGGATGGTATGATGCACAGTCAACTGCTCC